CACACACACACACACACACACACACACACACACACACACACACACACACACACACACACACACACGCCTACACGCCTACACGCCTACACGCCTACACGCCTACACGCCTACACGCCTACACGCCTACACGCCTACACGCCTACACGCCTACACGCCCACACACAAACGCACACACACACACACACGCCCACGCAGGGGCAGCCCATCAAGGCACTCAAGGCCCTGGGGCCGCACCGGGACCGCGGCGACCGGGCGGCCCTGCACCTGGTGCAGGCGGCCTGCCACGCGGCGCTCAGCCTGAGCACCCTGACGCGGGACCTGGCGGCCGGCCGGCCGGCCGGCGCCCAGTACCGCTTCCACAAGGCCCTGAGCATGCAGCACACGGCCGAAATGCAGCGGCAGGCGGCGCGCGCGGCCGAGGGGGGCGCCCGGCCGGCCGCCCTGGCCGCCCTGCTGGCCTGGGCCGGCATGCGGGTCCTGCGCGCGGCCGGCATCGCGGCCGGGCCCGGCGGGTGCGCCCACGCGGCCGGCCTGGCGGCCCAGCTGGACCGCAGCGTGCTGGCCATGCTGGAGGACGCGTGCGGCACGCCCGGGCCCGGGGCCCGGCCGGGGGAGGACCCCACCCGCGCGGCCGACGCCGTGGCCTGGCTGGCCTCGGCGCCGGGCTGGCTGCTGCCGGCCGGGCAGCAGGTGGAGCATGCGGCCGGGCCCGGGCCGCGGCCGGCCCTGGCCCCGGCCACCCACGCCGCGCCGCTGGCCTTCGCCGGGCTCGGGGCGCCGCCCTGGCGCCCGGAGGGGGCCGCCTGCCCGGACCCGGGCCAGTGCCACGCCCGGCCGGGCCGGCCGTGCCCCGTGTGCCGGGCGGTGGAGGCCGAGCGCCTGGCCGGCCGGCCGGCCGACCGCCTGCGCCTGGCCGCCGACCCGGCCGACCCCATCACCCGGGCCATGACCCGGGCCCGGCCGCCGGCCGGACCGCTCGCCGACCCGCCCTTCGAGGCCCACGCGTATGCCCTGCTCGGGTGGCTGGTCCGGGTGCACCCGGCCGGCGGCGACCGGCCCGCGCCCCACCGGCCGGCCGCCCGGCACCTGGACCCGGACGCCGCCGCCTGGCGCGGCTTCCTCCGCGTCCGCGAGCTGTGCTTCCACATCATGGGCGACGCCCGGCGCATGCAGGACCGCGCTCGCCAGGCGGCCATCCGCCTCGGCATGGAGACCCCCTGGCGGCACAGCCTCTTCGACCTGGACCCGGGGGAGGCCGACGACGCGGGGCCCGGGGCGCCGGCCGGGGACCACCCGGCCGGCGCCCCGGGCCCCGCCGGGCACCACCCGCCCCGGCCCCGGCCCCTGCCCGGCCCGCAGGACGACCGCGGCGAGTCGACCCCCGGCGAGCGGGTCTTCCACCGGGCCCCGGGCCCCCGGCCGACCATCGGCCCGCGGGCGCGCTCGCTGCCGGTGTTCGCCGGGCGCGGCGGCCCGGCCCCGGCCCCGGCCCCGGCCCCGGCCGGCCGGCAGCCCGGCCCCGCGCACGCCCCCTCGAGCCCGGTCCTGCGGCCGGCCTTCCCCCGGCCGGCCGACCCCGCCTCCGCCAGCCACCTGTCGCTGGATGAGCTGCTGCGGCCGGGCAGCGCCGGGTCGGCCGGGCCGGCCACCGGCCGCACCAGCCCGGCCCCGGCCGCGGCCCGGACCCTGGCGCTGGCGCTGGCCCCGGAGCGCCGGACCCCGGGCCCGAGCCCGGACCTGCGCTCGGCCTCGGCGGACCTGCTGGCCGCCGCCGGGGGGTCCGGCGCGCTGGGCCTGTCGCGGCCGGCCTCGCCGCCGGACTCGCCGGTCAGCCCGGTGGCCGGCCCGGCCCCGGCCCCGGCCCCGGCCCCGGCCCCGGCCCCGGCCGACCCCGGCAGCCCGCCCGGGCCCTGGAGCGACCGCCGGGCCAGCCACGTCCGGCGGATCTTCTCCAACCCCGCCTTCGAGCGCACCGTCGCCCAGCTGTACGACGACTGGCGCGCCCTGCGGGCCGCCTTCCTGCCGGACCTGGCCCCGGGGGCCGGCCATGCGGCCGACCTCCTGGCCGATGTGCTGGCCGACCCGCGCGGCCCGCGCCCGGCCCCGGCCGACATGTCCTCCTCCTCGGACACGGAGGACGCCCCGGGGCCCGGGGCCCGGGGCCCGGCCGCCGGCCAGCCCAGCGAGCCGGCCCCCGCCCCCGCCCCCGCCCCCGCCCCCGGGCCCGAGCACGAGCACGAACACCCGCACGAGCCGCCCCCGGCCGAGGTGCTGCCCGTGCCGGGGGCCGCCTACCGCCTGGCCGCCACCCTGGGCGCGGCGCACCTGCAGCACACCCTGCACCGGGCGCGCCTGCTGCCGCTGCCGGTCGGGCACCCGGGCGCCGGCCCAGCCGGGCCGATGTGCGGCCTGTGCGCCTGGGCGGCGGCCGGGGCGGCGGCCGACCCGCCGGACCGCCCCGGCCCCCCGCCCAGCCCCTTCGACCGGGCCGTGTACCGGGCCGCGTGCGCGCGGCTGGCCGACCTCGGGGCCGACTGCGGCCCGGCCTGCGACGCCGGCGCCCTGGCGGCCCTGGTCGACCGGCTCGGGGCCCGGGAGGAGCTGCGCCTGGCCCTGGCCGGCCGGTGCCTGGCCCCGGCGGCCGTCCTGCCCGCCGCCCGGGTCCAAGCCATGCTGCTGATAGACTTCCTCCGGGGGGCGCTGGTGGCCGGCCAGCCCCCGGGACACGGGCCCGGCCAGCCCGGCCGCCCCCCGGACGACATGCCGCTGGCCCGGGCGTGGCGCGCATCCGCCGCGGCCAATCCCCTGGCCGCCCCGCCGGAGACATGCGCCCTGTCGCTGCTGCTGGGGGTGTGGCAGCTCCGGAGCCTGGCCCCCGGGCCGGCCGGCCCGGCCGCCCTCCCGCCGCCGCCGCCGCCGGCCAGCCCGGCCGCCCCCCCGCGCGACCGGTCCTTCTTCTTCGGCCGCTGGCGCTCGGAGCGCGACCTGGGCAGCCGGCCGCCGGCCGGCCCCGGGCCGCCGCCCCCGGCCCCGGCCGGCCCGGCCCTCGACCCGGCCCCCGACCCGGCCCTGCAGCCCATCGACCGCCAGGCCCTGCACGAGATCCTGGACCTGTCGCTGCTGCTGGGGCTCGGCCCGGACCGGGCCCTGGGCCTGCTGGCCGGCGGCAGCAGCAGCACCCCGGGCACCCCGCCCAATGGCGGCGTCCACCCCCGGCGCAGCCGGTCGGCCGATCTGCTGCCGGACGACCAGGACCCGGAGCCCGGCCGGGCGCCGGCCAGCGCGGCCTCCCCCCCGGCTGCCGGGGCCCTTTCGCCCGCCGACCCGGACGCCGGCCAGCGCCTGCGCCACCTCCGGCACACGCTGCGCAGCCTGCCGCTGGCCGAGCGGGCCCACTGGATCGTGGAACTCGGCTGCCATGCCCTGCTCCGGGGCCAGCCCCTGCCCGGGGAGATCCTCCGCCGGGCGTGGCTCGACAGCCGCCGCTGCGCCCCGGCCGCCGGGCCGACGAAGGCCCACCCCCACCGCGGCCTCGCGCCGGCGGCCCCGGCCGCCGCCGCGGTCGACCTGCAGCTGGTCGACGAGGAGATGCAGGAGGTGCTGGCATGGTGTCTGGGCGAGTAGACCGCCGGTGCTGGACCCGCACGCTTAACCGAGATGGCCGGGGGGCGCGCGCCGCCCGATGCGCTCGCACGCCATCGCGTGCACTTTGGGCCGGCGGCGGCGTCGCCCCCCGGACGCGCCCGCGTGCGGGGCCCCCGCGAAAAATACACACCCAGCACACGATCACCCCCTCCCGCCATCACTGGATGGGCGGCGGGGCGCGCCGGCCGGCGTTGCCCCCCCCCTGTGGTTGCTGCCCCGGCTTCGGGCCGGCGGGGGGCGGCCGGCTGCACACCCAAGGGGCACCGAGATCGGCCGGGCGCCCGGGTCCCGGCGGATTGGGCAATCCCCCTCCCCCCGACGCCCCTTCTCCCCCCCTCCCGACTCTCGCCTCCCGACTCTCGCCCGCCCCGCTCGATCCGCACTTCCCCCCCCCCACACACACACACACACACGCCCCGATGCCCACACACACGCCCGAGGCCCGCCTCACCGGGGAGTGGCTCGTGCGCCTGGGCCAGGTCCGCCTGCAGGCCGGCCGGCCGGCCCCCGGGGCCCCGCAGCTGGAGCAGCTGGCCGCCGAGGCCAGGCGCTTCTGCTCCGAGCCCGGAGCCCTGCGGGCAAGCTGCCTGCCCCCGGGGCCGGACTCGCGCCCGGCCGTCGCCCTGCTGTCGGCGGCCGGGGGCGGCTGGCAGCCGGCCGTGCCGGACCTGGCCGCCCCGTGGCGCCTGGGCCGGGCCCTGCTCGGGGGCGGCGTGGCGCCGGAGTACTCGGCAACCGGCCCGGCCGGCGGCTCGGCCTGCGGCCGGCCCACGCCGGAGCTGTATCCCGGGCAGCCGGTCCCCGGGGGCACGGCCCCCGAGCCCCGGGGCTTCCCCGGGCACATGCTTGGCCTGCATTCGGAGCTGGCCAACTCCATCGGGCAGTCCGCCGAGGGGGCCGCATGCGGCGCCTGCCGGGCCCCGATCACCCTGCCCGGGCTGACCCTGGTCCCGGTGGAACTGTGCCAGACCTTCTCGGCGCATGGGGGCGGCGGCGGCGGCGGCGGCGGCGACGGCGGCGACGGCAGCCAGGCCGACGCCCCGGGCCCCGGGCACCACTGCGGCTGCCCGAGTCTCGATGTGGACGATGGGTTCGAGGCGGCCCTGCGCGCCGGCCGGCCCCACAGCACCCTGGGCCTGGTGTCGCTGTGCCGGCGGTATGTGCGCCTGGCGCCGGGGGCCCTGCTCCCCGGGCGGACGCTGGTCCGCCTGCGGCCGTTGGCCCCGGGCGAGGCGCCGCCGCCGCCGCCGCCCGATGCCGACCCCGGGGCCGCCGACGAGGCCCTGGACCACTGGGACCTGGTGGCGGCCCGGCCGGCGGAGGCGATCCTCCCGCCGGCCGACTGGGGCTTTGCCACGGACTCCGGCTCCGAGGATGACCCCCCGGAGGAGGATGTCCTGCTTGACCCGGCGGCCCATGGCCGGCAGGAGCCCGGGCATGACGCCTGGCCGGCCGGGGACCCTGCCCCGGGGGAGGATGCCCAGGCCCCCTGGCAGCCGGGGCTCTTTTGTCGGGCATGCGGCGAGTGCCTCGGCCGGGCGGCCCCCCGGGCCCTGGCGCACTTTGGCCCGGAAGCCGCCGACCGCCAGGCGGACCCGGCCCACTGGCCGGAGGTGGCCCCCGGCGGGTGGAGCCTCGCCTTCCTGTCGACGTGCTGGGGCCGGCCGGACTGCGCGTCGGCCGGGCCGGAGCCGGCCGACCACCGGGCTGGCGGGCCCGCGGCAGCGGCCGTGGCGGCCGCCACGCCCGGGCTCCTCCGGCAGCTGGCCGAGTCGGCCGCCCCGGCCCGCTGGCCCGGCCCGGCGGCGCGCGATGACACCCTGCTGGCATGGTGCCTGGATGGGTACCTGCGGGCCGGGGCCCAGCCCGAGGACCACGACCCGGCCGTGGCCCAGCGCCTGGCCTGCTGGCTGAGCGGGGTGCTGTACGAGTCGCGCGCCGGGCCGCCGACCGCCTCGCGCCTGTGCCTCCTGGTGGACTTGCCCCTGGCCTTCCTGGCTGCCGGGGATGCCGGCCAGCCGGGCGCCCGTCCCCCCTCCCGGGCCCCGGTCCTGGCCATCCAGGTGATCCACCACCAGACAATGCTGCTGGCCGAGGAGGCCGACACCCGGGCCCAGCGTCTGTTCCCCGGTACGCAATGCGCTCTGGCTCCTTGGGGTTTCGGCCCGCGCTAACCCCCCTCCCTACTGGCGACTGTCTGTGTGTGTGTGTGTGTGTGTGTGTGTGTGTGTGTGTGTGTGTGTGTGTGTGTGTGTGTGTGTGTGTGTGTGTGTGTGTGTGTG